ACCTACAAAATACCCAATTAAAGCTTCGTAACGTCTCAGTTTGTACTCATTGATCTGCACAACAGTCAAAGTCGCCATCTTTGTTTATATGAGACCCATATATCTCGCGTATGCGTGGCCCCAAATTTACTCAAAAAAAAAAATCGAACGGTGTTTTGAAACTAGAACATCTTCCGAGCTCAACATTTTACCGATTTTTAATACAAAATGGCAGCTATAATAGCGCTTAATTATTTTTTTTATTTCCATGGAAACGGAAATATGTAACCATTTTTTTGTTCACTGGTACAGACCGTAAAAGCTGCAGTTATGATATGGATTCATGGTGGTGGTTTTATGATTGGCTCAGGAAGTCACATGTATGACGCAACAGCTCTGGTGGCATTGAATGACGTCATCGTTGTTACGCTCAATTACCGGGTGGGTGCGTTCGGTTTTCTGAGCACAGGTAAATAAGCAAGTACACTACTGCCACAGTCTGTATACCAAGATATATTGCACAATTTGCGATTTCCCAATATCTAGTGGTATGCCCGACTGCGGCGGTGTTCTATCGCCAGTATATTATACTAGCTTAATTTTAAATGTAATTTTGGGACATGGAAATTAACGCGGGAATTGAGTTCCAAGCGACGATAAAAACGTAAACTTTCATATGATACCATAGTGGCCAACATAGTTTGCCATGGCATCATATATTTCAAAATATTTCGGTCTATCAATATTACAATATATTGATGTGTTACCAGTTGATAATAATCAGAATTTTAAAAAAAATCGACAATTTAAAGCGGAAGGGTCGTCACCTGCGCACGCGCGGGAATTGAGTCCCAAACGACGATTACAACACACGCTAAAACGCAAGGGCTCATGGGTAGACGCTTGTTTGTAAACAATGAGACGCTATGGCCACCTGACGCATGCGCAGGTGACGACTCCCCCGCTTTAATCGAAAACACCAAAACGCCCACATGTGATACAGCATCCGAAACTATTTACCTGCAACCGTAGTTACATGAAATTGGTCAGAAACTAAAATACAGCAGTTAAAAGTATTTCGAACCGTGAGAATATTTGGTATTCGTATTTCGGAGTTGCGAGGTTTATTCGTTTTTCTTCGTGTGCACGTTGATATAGATAAAATCATCTCAGACGACACAATTTAAACAAAAATACAGACGCCGATTAGTGCTGTACGCCCGTCTACATTTTGAGGAACTTCCGAGCTCTCGATCGAGCCACTGCAGACGGCAATCTTTTCTTCGGCGTCGTTTGTATAATTCAGACATATTGAGTTTCTCGTGTAGCATCTCTTGTTAACCAAGATACCCGCAGGTCGCAATAATTCAGTAGACAGCAATATTTATCCTTCTTGTGTGTAATTCATGTTCGGGCCAAGTTGTAAACACGGAAATCCGTGGTATATCCTCACAACTTGCTCAACTAAAACACGCTCTAGTCCAATCAGAACAGCGTATTCAGACAATTAAAATGATGGCATAATATAGCAATTATTATTGCATTGTTTGTGTATTTTACTTCCAAGCTGCAGTATATTTAAAGGGCGGCAGTCGTCGCGCCGCGTCCTGTTCGACATGGAACTCATAGCGACGTATACAACGCGTGTAAAATACATTGTTTATTTACATGAAATTCGAACACGTGCTGCGCGACGACCACCGCGCTTTAATCACATTTTTTCTATATTGACTGAAATCAATCAAATGGATGAATATATCCAGAATACTAATGCACATAAATGCATGTCATATGCACCAAGGAACGATTGTCTTTCCAAAGAGAGTGGGAGTAATATAATTTGGCTGTCTACTGATTTTTTTAAAGATAAATGTTGTTCTTCTTAGCTTTATTAGTTTGTCTAGTATCGTGCGCATCTACTTCTATTCCTCGGACGCCAGTGATTGATGAAGCAGGAGACGCCCTAGTTGTAGCCACGATGCGTTGCGCCACTCAAAACCCGCCCTGGACCCTGCTAATAATAACAATGACTAATACAGAATGCACGTCATACGCACGCGTACTCCAGCAATACACTAACGTTCATTGCAGCCGTACAAATTACCGTACGTGTAACTGAGATTTTTACAGATAAATCAAGTTTGTGGTCATTATTAGTCATCACACATATGCCACGTGTATGGAATAACATTGACGTATTTGTGTTTATTTGTATCTAGGTGATGACGTCTTACCTGGCAACAATGGCCTCCTGGATCAAATTGAAGCCTTACGATGGGTTCAGAATAATATTGCAGGTATGATTGTTGGAATATTAGTGTGTACATGTTTTTTTTAAAGTTAAAATTACTTGATTGAGCGTGTTACTCTAGATATATGCAATGCATTATGGGAGAAAAGTTCCTAATGTATGTAATGGATAACTACCATAAATGAGTTAGTGGCAGAGTGGACGCAAGTCATGAAACAAGTCATGTGACATAAACAGGTCACGTGGTTGTCGCTCTCCGCGTGATTTCGGTTGTCATTGGCGAATCAGGCCTATTGTACTATCGTTTCTTCCGTGATATCCATGAGAAAAATATTAAGACTCACCTCATTGATTTTGAATTCACAATTCTAAAGTAATAATAACAATTTTCTTTTTGTGTAATTTTGCAGCCTTTGGTGGGGATCCGGATTGCGTGACCATATTTGGAGAAAGCGCCGGCGCTATGAGTGCGCACCTACTAGTATTGTCACCACTTGCCAACGGTCTCTTTCATAGAGCTATAATGCAGGCATGTTAAAACCATTTTTACAATTGCGTAATTTTTAGGACCGGTTT